ATATCCTAGATACATACTATCAAGACCCGAACCCTTGCATAAACCCCACATTCCTGCTCTACACACACCCTGTACCCAACAAAGCCCTTGCCTCTTGAACCCCCCCTATCTGATCCACTCTCGCCTCCGCCTTGCCCTGTTCTCCCATCTGTCCTCCCCCACATCCCTGTCTCTCTTGTCCAACTTCCCTATGTGGCCCCTGCGCGTCGCCGGCGATAATGGATCTAATGGCAAGAGCACGAGGACGATGGCATGCTGCAACTCAGTTCGAGGAGATAAAGCAGCTGGTTGGCCGCGATGCTGTTCCCATTGGCCGACACATTGGACTCGCAGACTTCTGGAGCAGCAACCTCGAAATTGACATCAATATCAGTCTGCGACCTGCCATCCAGATCAGACCTTATCACCACATCAAGACTACCGGACGCCTCATGCTACTGGGACATTCAAGCTGAAGCCCCGTCGACGACGTCCTGAGATGACTGAAGACTGTTCCCTCCTCGATACTACTGCGACTCTTCTCAAGACCTGTTCCCAAGACTTTCGCATAACCACTACTCAGACATTTTGCAACCATACCCCAGAAAACCCGTAGTTCATCAATAGGACCACCCTGTTCCCCGCAATTCCAAAACCCTTAGTTCATCAGTAGGATGACCCCGTTTCCCGTTGTCCCTAAACCTTTAGTTCATTAATAGAACCACCCTGTTCCCCGCAGTTCCAAAACCCTTGGCTCATCAGTAGGATTGCCCTGTTCCCCGTTGTCCCTAAGCCCTTAGTTCATCAGTGGAACTACCATGTTCCCTTAGCTCATCAATAGAACCACCCTGTTCCCAGCTCACAATTACAAGCCCTGTTCCCTAATCACACAACCAGACACCTGGATTATACCCCTCTTCCCTTGTAACTGGCTGACCAGTGATTGGCCCCGTCCCGTCCTCCGCAGTTTTCAGCATTGTTTCATGACTTTTGGCAGCCGAGACGTTGCCTTCTAGAGGGAGGGGATAGTGTTATGGACTCACCCAGGGCTCGATCCCTGGTCCGCGGGTTACCACCTGCCAGGCTGCTATTTTTTCTGAGTTCCTGATTTCCGGTTCTGGACTGCTGGTGCCCTCTGCAGTTGGCGCCCGTTCTCAAATTCCTCCACTGGCATTTTCGGATTTCGATACTTAGTGCCATCCGGCATTCTGGGGCCCAGACGCAGACCTGCGATCCTCAGTTCAGTCCTGAGACAGGCCGCACCTCGGCCCTCCGGACTGAGCCTGAGTCCTGTACTTAAGTCCGGACTCGAGCCCCGTTGGGGCATTCAGTCTTCGGCCTCAGTGCTTGTGCTTCAGTGTGACTTGCCGCGACTTTGTGTTCGGAATCCAAGATTGCGACTTTGCGACTTTGAGACTTTGGTCACTTCGTGTCTGCGTCCGTCTTGTCGGGTCGAGTCCGTGTCCGTGCTGTCACTCTCCCCCTCTCTCTCTCTCCCCCTCGACCTCTCTGCTCTGCCTCGGCCTTGTCACACCAATCCCCCAGCTTCAACAGGAATTTTTCTGTTGAGAGGGCTGTCCATTGCTGTGGAATACTCTGGCGTATCGCGGCTAGATTGGTGTCAAGGGAGTGGCAGCACCTCAGAGGGATGCGTAGCTCTTGCTATATTTGCCATTCTCCCCGCTCCTCGGACCACAGATATTTGATCTACCACACTCCTTTCTCCACCCCTGATAGCCATCTCCGATCCTTGGCACGGAGTGGACAAGGATTGCCTTCTATATCCGTTAGCTAAGGGTTGCAGAACAAGGGATGTCTGAGGACTTCCACTCTGTTGTTCAGGGCGCCGTGTTTGATTGGCAGACGGCGCCGCGCTTTGATGGTTGGGGTCCAGTAAGATGTGGGCGTGGGGTTGGGCTGGTTCGTTGGTAGTTGCTGGAATCTTCTTGGTGTCTTGCCTGTTTTAATCGTCCATTCTTTGGCCATGACCCAGAAGAGACCTCGCATGTCAGATGGCAAGTTGATTGGTGCCAGGTTCTTAATGCTGTCTAAGGCTATTTTCGTCCACGGGAGGATTTTGACAGCCCATTTTATCTGGAGGGTGAGTCTATTATGCCCAAGCCTCCGTCTTGCGGCTTCCTAGTGATGTGACGCCAGGCTACCTTGTTTATGCAGGTGGTTCTGTTTGGGTCCCCAGTCCATAAGAAGCATCTGACTCTTGCTTTGAGATCCTTGAGGTGGTCGTCGGGGGGGGACCAGATGGACGCCATGTCCCACATTGTAGAGAATATTACCGTGTTTATGATTAGTGCTCGACGGATCAAAGGCGCTTGGGCTTTCTTGCACAGGGCCAGGCGAGCTATTGCTTTGGCTATAAGGTTTTGTCCCATACCTGGCCATGTGCCTTCTCTGAAGCGCCTGTTCCCCCTCGGACCATGACAAGGGGTTGAGGTCGTCGTCGGGGGGGACGCTATGTCCCACATTGTAGAGAATATTACCGTGTTTATGATTAGTGCTCTACTGATCAAAGGCGCTTGGGCTTTCTTGAACAGGGCCAGGCAAGCTATTGCTTTGGCTATAAGGTTTTGTCCCATACCTGGCCATGTGCCTTCTCTGTTGCCCAGATACCGAAGCACCTGTTCCCCCTCGGACCATGACAAGGGGGTAGGAAGATCCGGGGGTTGAGAGGGGGGGTCCCTTCTGCTAACCACCAGCCTTCAGTTTTGGCCCAGTTTACCTTCATTTCTGATGCCAGTCAAAAGGTTTCCATAGCTCTGACAAGGGCTTGAATTGAAGAGTCGTTGGCCTGGATAAGGACGGTAAGATCATCTGCGAACATCAGGGCAGTGGGTAGGGCAAAGTCATGTAGAGGGTTGAAAATTTGATCTGTGAGGCTGTCTATAGACGGGACCTTGCGAGGAAAGGGTGCTATGGCTTCCATGATGAAGAGGAAGATAGGATGTGCCGGTGGGTTGAATTTGGCTCAACTGCCAAAGGCGCTTGCAGATGTCTTTTTTCGTTTCGTTTTTGTTTTCGAAGTTTTACATGTAGAAGCAAATTATCCCCACTTAATTGGAGACTTAGGATTTATGTAATACTTCCCCGTGAGCCCACATAGCTCAACATAAAAAAACAGAGAAAAATAAAGCAATCCATTTGTGAATCATTAGAGGGGCACCAGTCAAGGCAACTTCGTTGCGAGTTCAAAAACAAAAGACTTGGCGAACGGAGCTCGAGATCAGGTATGTGTCTGACAATATTTTGTTGATCTGGACTCTTCCTGTGGCATCTCCTTGAAGTATTCTGACCCATTCTCTGAAATTGGGGCCTACTCCCATCTTTCTCATGCAGTCGTGGAGAAATTCCCAGTTGACCTGGTCATAGGCTTTTTCAAAATCGAAGAAAAGAATAGAAGCCTGCATACGCTTTTCTGTGATTTTCTTTGCTGCCTTGTTCAGGATGAATCCTGCGTGATCAATGTGAAAACATTTGTCGGTGAGGTTTATGATCATGTTGGCTAGTGCTTTCGCGAAGATCTTATATGGAGTTGTGAATAGTGAGTTAGGTCTGTACTGCACTGTAGTCTTTTAGGTCCTCTCTTTCCGCTTTCTTATGGCGTAGTCAAACCACACTTGTGCTTAGGAGTTGGCTGAGGCCTCCCTTAGCTTTGCAGGCATTGAAGAAGTTGAGAAGGTCGCTTCCTAGTATCGGCCAGAAATGGACCCAGAATTCTTTTGAGAGGCCGTCGATACCTGGTGCTTTCTCGTTCGCCATCTGGGTTAGGGCTTCTTTCATCTAGGGTAATTGGTTTGTCCATGCCTTCTGATTGTTCCTGTGAGATTTTCCGTCCAGGTGAGACATCATGAGTTGGCGGGCTGCAGTGGTTGTTGTGGAGGGTGGGAAGGGTGTTTTGGATTCAGAGAGGGTTGCGTAGAAGGCCTTAGCTATTTATACCATGTCTGTGCTGGCTGATTTGACCCTGTCTCGGTCCATTGAGTCTTCTCAGTCGTTTGATCATATTATTTCTAGTGTTAGCTTTGATTTTGGAGAAGAAGTTCATCATCGATTAATTGAGTGTGTATTCAGTCATCCTGGCACGCAGTTGTAGGCCTCTCATCTCCCATTTTCTCCACTCACTGAGTTGCTCTTTTGAAGATTTGAGTAAGTCGTAGTAGAAGTCGTTGGTGGGGTCTGTTGTGAGATTGGCCTCGGCTATTGTAGTTCCTCTTTTCTGATTTTTCGCTCAGCTGCTATGCTTCTTGGCTCGCCGGACACAGTCTGTCTCAGAGCCGCATAGCTGTCTGTCTTTTTGCTTTGTCTCGTTTTGTCTCATGAAAAGCCAGTTCCATTTGACAGCTTCTGTCAAGCGGTCTGTGGAGAGGAGGGAGTTATTCAGTCTGTGAAAACCCTGTCCCTTTTCCACCGGGGAATCAAGTTCAGGAGCAGGTGGATTGGCTTGTGATCCAGTCCCTTGAATGCTGCTGCAGGCAGGATTTTGGCCTCTTTGACTGCTCCGTAGAGGGATTCAGAGATCAGGAAGAAGTCGATCCGAGATAGTGATGTTATGTTGGAGCAGGTGGATTGGCTTGTGATCCAGTCCCTTGAATGCTGCTGCAGGCAGGATTTTGGCCTCTTTGACTGTTCCGTAGAGGGATTCACAGATCAGGAAGAAGTCGATCCGAGATAGTGATGTTATGTTGGCCACGTTTCTCTTGACCAAAGAGAATACAATAGGGAAAAGAAAATGCAGTTAATAGTAAAAAGTGAATACAACAGGTAAATATGTGCATGAGTCCAAACAACATGAGGTAAGACACCTTCTCTGTTGTTTGTAGGATCACATGAACTGCCATACAGAACCATTATCAAGTTTCACAAACTAAGAATAACAACTTGAAACCTCTGGATGTCCAAGGAGAAATGGACAGGATGATTGAGATAGGGGTAGGCCTCACGGTAGCTCTTTTGGGCCAGTGGAGCCTGCTTGTAACCATTGAGGATTGGGAAAAGGCTGAACAAACCTGCTGGGCAAAGGTCCCACCAAATATCTTGGTCAGTGTTGGCTCGTGTCTGGTTGCTTTTAATGTCTCATCTACTTGGTCGTATAATCGATTAAAAAACTCGAACGCATCTTGATGCTCCCGCAAATTGATAGGCAGCCCATCATAGTCTCTGTATGCTAGCCAGAAGCCCTGTGGGGTGTAATGGTCAAGACTGCTACCCAAAAGGGCGCCAAACATTGCCTGTAGCTGGAAAAAAACAGACTCTGGCCTCTCTGATTCCGAACATTCCTCACAAGCAAGAATGCTACGCCTCACATCTGGTTGCATGTACAGCTGCTGAAACACAGAGTTCATGTAGCATGTGGCTCCCGCATTTTTTAACCCCACATAACCGCCAACAGATTTCCTTCCGTAGGATGGCAAGTGTTCCCATTCTGGTATTTCTGATGTGAAGTGCATCCGCAACAGCAGGTCAACAATCTCCCTCATATTGTCGAGACAGTGAGTCCCTAAGCAAACAAGAAGCTCGAATGCACTCATTCTGCTACTTCTGGTGCCACACTTCGCATGCAAAAAACCATTCTCTTCCAAGTTGGACCCCAGTTGACCAAAATGTATGTTCCCGGGGACAATCCCCGACCCGAGGCCTGTGAGGTCGAGGGCACCCCCCTCCCCTCGTGTTGCCATGAGCACGACTGCTTCAGGGAACAAGAACTGTTTCAGCAACTGCAATTTCACACAAACAGCCCATAGTTAAGACATCCATCAGTTAGGACACTCACTAGTCCAGAGACGGGCCAGGACAGCTGTGAAAGAAAGAAAAAAAGAACTGCATATGAGGCATCAGGGCACTCAAAGCGATAGCTGACAAAGCAAAAGAACTGCATACAAAGCAAGCACCTTATTGAAGCTCAAAGACTATTGTCCAACGCTGTCGGTCACCCTAACTCATTAAGTGATTGACTGCTGCTGAGAATTGGAAGTCAAGAGACAAGGCAGAAACAACAGATGTGCATATCCTGCGCTCACCCTCATTAAGCACGAGCACTCTTAGCACAAAGCGATCAACTGGCATTTGCCAGTTGTTTCAACCCCACAGTGAAAGGATCAATGAACTAGAGCGCCTGACAGTCCACATAGAAGGCAGGAAACCAAAACCTACAAATCAGGCAGGCACGCTAATAAACCACGAACCAACCACAAACTGGGCCTGCACCATATGCTGGTGTTAGGCCCCTAACTCATTGAGTAATCAACTGATGCCATCATATGTTTTACCCTCAGGCATCCCGAGTGTCATAGCTCATTTGATTGTGCTCACCCAGGTTTTCCCCCTTGAGAATCAAGCAGACCATTTTCTAGAGTCACCATGCCTATATACACAAGGAAACATAGGAAAGTGATCCTGAGCAAGAAAGGAACATGGAGGCGTTTAAAGGCTGTCTACCTGCACTATCTCCCAGGTGGCTGAACAGTACACACATTTACTGTTGATCAGCAGATCAAGTCAAATTTGTCAAAATGGGATGCAAAAACGTTCGGGACTCTTGACCTTGGGAAAATAGAGTACTTTCAAACAGCCTGTCGCATAAGCCCTTGCCAGAGAAATGCTCTGTAACATTGTAACATGAGCTTAGATGCAGGACATTTTTTCAAAACCATTTGTCAACCACTCAAAGAGAAAAAGAATGAACTTGTCAACCCAGACACTACTCGTGAAAGAGGGTCGCATAGAAGAAAAAGAATGGACAGAAGGCATATGCAGTCACTGAAAACATAGTCAGAAAGCGAGAAAAGGACAAGCAGCATGGGCCTGTAACAGACTTTTTCGTCAGGGTTTTGCGAACCCATCACGAGGCCCAACCCTTTACAGTACGCAGGGTATCCAAACCTGGGCTGTCATGGCCTTGCAAGATGCAAGATCCCCTCCATGGGTGAAATTATTGGTACGGACGGCATGCAGGCATCAACTACATTTTGATGAATGAACAAGTGAACGAAGTTCAACGAACGGCATAACAGTTTTTGAGAAAGAAGAACAAAGGAAGAACAAGAGAGCTGATCTATGAGACATACGCCAATGAGCACACTGGTCCTTTCCTTCGTGCTTCTTTCTCAAAAACTGATTTGTCTTTCTCAAAAACTGTTCTTCTTTCTCAAAAACTGGAAATCCGAAACTGAAAGGACAAAGACGGTTAACTAAAAGGAATTGTAGACAAATGTGATTAGTCATAGCAATCCTTTACGAATGGGCAAACAGTTTTCACATTGACGAGGTTGAGTCATTATTTAAATATTTAAATAGCAAGCAAAGATGTTTGTTCTCCCGTGATAGATTTACATCTTGCACAGTTCTTTCTGCATTTAGCACGTCCAATCACTCAGTAACTGTGGACTTGGGCTGCCTGATCTTTTCAAGAAGGTCGGCAGTGTTTTTTCTCACATGTTCAACATTGATCCATTACTTGTGTCTGAATGAGCGAATTCACAAAATGTTGCCAAAGATGTCAGTTATGTCTCAGAGTGTATCGTCCGCTAAGTCAGTGGTTCATGCAGAAGAGATAGGTAAAAGGTTGTTCTCCCGCTGCAGCTGCTAATACACCTCCTGGAAATACAAGATTGAATCATAATAGTGGGGAATAATGTCAGGATCCTCATGATTACATATTGATATAGAATCCGATGTTGTTTACACAGTTATGAACTGCCATCTCTGTTTCTCCCACCAGGATGACTCCAGAGTCCGAACACAAGAGTATGAATTTTATCCCGGACACAAGAGTATGAATTCTGTTCACAGCTAACCCGCAGATCACTGTTTTAAGTTAAGTTATGTCACAAAGGAGAGCCTGGTTGGATAGTTACGTGAGAATTATTTGCCCAGACACTCCAGCGCTTTCTCCTGCACAATTATAGTCGCCGTCCAGCTTTATCACATTCATCCTTTCCGAGGGCGTGACAGGTGATGGAGTCCGTGCGTGTCTGTGGCAAAGAGAAAGAGAGAGAGGTGGTCTCCTGCACGGGTTAGAGTGTGGGGCATCAGTGAAAGATAGGAACTCAGATTTACATGAGCATGGGAAAGGGAGAGCAGAACGTAGCTGCAGCAAAGAAACTGAAGAGGTCTTTCTCTGTACAAGCATGGGAAATGGGGGAAAGAACTTGTCAGTTGTGTATATTTTTTTAAATGCAACTTGTGCAAGTGCATACAAACATATACAACACACACACACACACACACACACACACACACACACACACACGCGCACACACACACACACACACACAC